TTCCATCAGTCCGCTTGGTCTCCAAAAACTTACCAATGGACTTAACCTAATAACACAGGTTTTGCAATATTCACATCAGACAAAGCTTCAACATGCATTGAGAGAGCATATCAAACTAGAAATCTTATAATGGAGGATCAACAATGAGTAAATCAAGAACGAATTTCATACAGCGTGTTAAAAAAGATCCACAAGTTGCAGATACCCTGGTATATGCACACAAACATTGTACAGATACAAATTCAATTCTTTCAAAAAGAAACATTAAGGAATAAGGTAGAAAGTCTCCTATGAATTATGATACAACTGAAGTTCATTATGGACTTACATACTCGTAAACATCATTTCCAGCTCCACTTGCATCTGCATAACTGACATGTCGAGACAAGAAGAGGAAATATTAAAAGATAAATATCTATGAACCAAAAGAAAACACAAAACAAACAAATAATACAAATTAGTTAGGCAAAGCTAATCCATCTTAAAGTAAAATAACGAATATAATATCAGAAGCTTCTCTAAATATCAGTTCCAAGGAATGAAGGAAACAAGGACCTCATGTAGATCAACAGAACTAAAAATTTTATGGGCCATTTAGCCTTACGGAAGAGCATCATGTGCCACATAGTCAATCTGATGTTTCTCAATGAACTCCGGAGTAACAACCCAAGGCGCATCTGGAATAACTTCATCAACCCATCTGCATCAATGCATACACGATTAACCTAAAATGAGGACAATATAGCACCCATAACACAATTTAAGATAAAGGGTGACATAACCCATCAGAAATTACATTATTAGACATTCTAACAGGCTAACAGCACGTGCAGCTTCAGATAAGAACATATTCAGAAGTAGGATTTCATGCAATATCATGCATATCACCTCCTAAGAAACCAAAAAATCCAGTAAGAATCAGAACAGTAATTCCTACTATTAGATAGTTATGTGTAATTGGTTGTGCTTGGTGTAATACAACAGAGTAATAGTAGTGTCCCATAAGTAGTGTCCCATATTATTTACCAATATATGTTTTTATCGTGTGCCTATAACAGGATCAGACATTAGGTTTCACGCATTCTCTCAGTCTTTTCTTCTTATCTCTTATTACTCGCTCAGTATCAGCCCTTGCTATCAGAAGTTTGCCGAGAAGTGTAACTTAGATACCGGTGACAATCCAGGAGAAGAAATTGTTGCCCTGTAACCTTCAATGAGTGCTTGCACAAAATCCAGTACCACTATAAGACAGAAATTTCCATGCAAGCACAACCCAAAAGGTATATCTAAGAGAAGAAAACTTTTGGGCTAAAATATCTCATCGGCTGGCCCGTGAGGTAATTTCCGGTAAACTGCTTTCTTGTGACTCGTCAATCTCAATCCCCCATCGAGGTTCTGACCAACTCTTATCACCTACCCCTAGCCCAAGACTGTCCACTTGTCAAGTCAAATTCCTTTATTATTTAGCACCTTTCAGTCAAATCCCAGAGAGCATTTTTGTTTTATCATCTTTATGACCACTTCCAATCTTTCTTTCCAGCATCTTTCAAGTCAAATCAAGTAGGCCATCTAAATCACTTCCACTTAAGTTTTCCGGCACCCTAAGTTGTCAAGTTTAGCTCCGACATCTCTAGCAATTACGCAGTGAGTTTTTTGGTTCAAACGATATTTTCCCCTCGAACAGGATATTTCAGCAACCTTTTCTGATGGCTGTTTTCCAACACTATTCAGCAAACTTAACTCAATATCCTGTTCCATCTTCCATCAGTTTCAGACCCTTTCTCTAAGGTTTTGTGGCACTTCACTCTATTTTTTGTATTCCTTATTGAGCTCTCTTTCAACCAAATATTCTATTTATTGGATTTAGACTCTTTATCGAAAAAGAAAAAGATATTCGGTCTGGTCTCTCAGGATAAAAAGAACATGGGCGGGTTGAGTGGATCACATTGTCATGAGCTAATTGTGCCACCCGTTAGTCGTGATAATCACAATGTATTTCATAATGCATCGAATCCAGAATTTCATGACAAACCAAGCACATAAATATTATTGTGACTTTGTCGAAGAAAAGATACTCTGAAGAAATATTGTCACAGAGTTGATGAAGTCAAACGATCAACTTGCATACAACATTCAGCAGATATCCTCTAACAGGTCACGTGTCACATACTTGGAACATACAACTTGATGCACCAACTTGAAGAGGAGCTAGCTAATTAAGTTTAAATAGTCATACCTAGTTTAACATAACAGTAGTCTCCCACATGGAGTAAATATGCTATGTAAATTGTAAATTGAATCTATAAATAAATTCAGGCATAAGACATTCGTCTTCACACCTCACCCTCACCCTTGTGTCTCTTATCTCACACCAACAAACCACATTTTTATACAAAATAGCTAGAAGTGACCTCAACCATTCATCTCATTGGGAACTAAAAGGCAAATGAACAAAACAAAATAAGAGTAAACAAAAGAATGGACTTCAAAAATAAATTACAGACGACATCCATTTTAAAAATCAAAGTTTCCCTCAATACACACAATATAAGAAACATCTACATGAAATTATAAATTTAAAGGTGCATATAAGTTCATATTTTTGAATACGTATTCTGAAGACACCAGACAACTGAATGAACAATTAGACACTTGATCATTTCAGTATTACCGCAATAAGAAAAAAACATTTCAATAAATCTGACTGAAGCAAATGCTAAACTTTTAACAGAATTGACAACTCCATTGAACTAACTTGCAGTGGCGCAGAGATTCATAGCGCTCCTTATCATTCATAACAGTTTTTCCCTTGTACATGTGGGTGATTTCATCATTGCAGCATCCAACAAGAAGATAAGTGTTGGGCAACCTACATTTTAAGCAATGAATAATTTAGTCCAAGTAAAACGTCAGTTCAATTTCACAAATTTGTCATGGCTTACAACTAATAAAATCCAAAGTAAATTAAAATGCAACTTAGGCAAACATTTACTGTTTTTCCCTTTTACAGGCTAACTATGGCACATCCCAATAATGAGTTTTGGCTAATAACATCCCTGAACTATATCCAACTTCAGTTACATCCTAAACCGTCATATAGTGAACAAAAAACATCCTTGAAGTATACAAAACTTTGTTAAAAGGGAAGATAGCGGTGCCCCACACTAGTTCACCATCCATACGTAACAACGCAAAGCCTTTCCCAAGTTCAGAGAACCCATAGAGGCTCTAGAAATTCTTTCCATGCAACCAAATCATGCGCGATCTCTTAGCTGCCGGTTGAATTATATAACAGCACTTTCGTGATAAAAAAACAAATTTTATTGGATGTTGAAGATTATAGTGGAGGGGACAGATAGTAGCATTTGCGGGGAAGTTGCATGTTTTTTGTTAAGGCTGTTAGTTCTCCTGACTTGTGAGACATATTGGATAATTTAGGGATTTTTTTTGTTCGCCGTGGTAGTACAAGGATGTAGTTTGAGTTTGAAGTACAGCTAAGGGAAGTTATTGGCCAAAACTCCCTAAACAACACTAGATACCTTTATCTTCCTACCAATATAGCTATGATGTAACTCTTCTCACCGAGGCTTAGGCAGAGCAATACAAATTAACCAGCTTTCTTTTTCTCCTATGATGGGATCCCTCTCATGACTGAACAAAATATACCAATTACCATTATCTTTTTAGTTCTGTCAGAAATCTAGCATCCCATTTGATAATATAAAAAATAGAAACTGGAAAATTTTATTACAATCAAAGTCTATTACTTCTAAAATCATGGAGTAATATGCCACAAAAAAACAAAATTGGAGGTTATAAAAACCATGAGTAAATAAAGGGAAACAAGAAGGAGAATAGAGGAGAAAGTAATATACAGTTTTTTGGCTTGTTCAAGGGCGCGAGCATGGCCGAAGTGGAAAAGATCGTAGATACCGTCAGCGTAAATACGGGCCGGTCGATCTGTTGGCGGTGGATTTGGTGGGATCGGTTTCAACCGTCGCGGCTGCGGCTGTTGTTGCTGTTGTTGTTGTAATTGTGGATCTTCGCTTCCATTCTCCATTGTTTCTTCCCCTCTCTCTCTGTGCTATTGCAATTGCAATTTGCTGTGCTTCCCAATATGCAATCGTAACGTCCAAATTGGAATTACTGTGTTCTTATTTATACATCTTTTGTTTCTTCCAATCCAGCCCCCACCCCACCTGCTAGCATCACACACCCTCAACACGGGGTACCGCGCCCGACCTCTCTTTACTCGTATTATACTTTGGGCCCCAATATAATTGATAGGAGTAATTGATTTTTTTATGATACTCAAAATCCACGCTTAATTCATAAAAAAAAAAGTGTGATGTTCCTCGCTAGTGATTAATACTACTACAACAACAACAACAACAACAACCCAGTATAATCCCACTTAGTGGGGTCTGGGGAGGGTTGTATGTACGCAGACCTTACCCCTACTCCGAAAGGTAGAGAGGCTGTTTCCAAATAGACCCTCGGCATCCTTCCCTCCAAGAACTTCCCACCTTGCTCTTGGGTAGACTCGAACTCACAACCTCTTGGTTGGAAGTTCATAATATAGTTGTTCCTGTTGTCAGAGTGTCAATGGATATTCGAAAACCGACTAAACCGACCGAATCGTACCAAATCGAATTAATTTTTAGATTTCTTTTTAAGAAATTGTAGGTTTTAATATAAATTTATAACCGCACTGATAATTAGAGTAGGTTTTTTATTTTATAAAAATAAACCGAAAAATACCGAACCGTACCGAATAAATTTTATATGTAGAAAATATATTTATTTAGTAAGTTTAAAAATAATAATGCATTAAATTTTCTTTGAGCCTTGGAATTATGAAAATTATTATAAGCCAACAAGTAATTAAACTCAAAATACTAATTTCTAAAACTTATTATGTTACTTTTACTTAAACTAAGTTATTTCAAGTATCTTTATTAGCAAGACACAAAGTATTATAGCGATTATGAGTAGCAAACTACAATGTATTGAATATGTTTCCTTTCATATAATTTAGATGTATCTTTTTGAATATTTAATCTTATATAGACTTTATTCTTGAGTCCTAGTTTTGTATATCTTTTAACTCGTATGATTAATATTTTCTTTGCCTTTGTTTATTTTTTTTACAATATTGTAGAATAGTTGATGGATCTATACTCTAGCCATCTTTTTTTTAATTCATCACCCTTTAAACAGTAAAAATGTCTAGAGAGTTTTGCTAAGTCCTATAAAAGAACGTATGTTATTGCAATTTTACTTCTACTGGTGAATTTTACATGATATTTAAAAAAATACCGAAAATTAACCGAACCGTACCGATACCGAAAAGAAACCGACATGATTGGGACGGTTTCAAAAAGTCTAATTTTAGTTATATATAATAGAATAATCGAAAAATTGGTATGGTACAAATTTTATAAAATAACCGGCCGAACCGAACCATTAACACCCCTGCCTGTTGGAACAAGAAACATCAAAAGGTCAACAGCATAAACACAATTTTTAATATATCTAGACTTCCCAATTTCTTTTATATTATTTAAAATCTACACATAATATGTGAGATACTTCCACATCACTAAATTCCAATTTGTTAAATAAAATGACAGGAAAAAAAAAAAGGAAAGCTCGTTTGAAGAATTTGGTAGAGAAAACTAGTGTATGACAACAACTATAATTATATCTCAAATAAATTTGTAAGTTTTAAAAAAAATATCGTACAGATCATCATATGATTATCAAATGTGAAAAAAAACAAAATAGAAATTTAAATTATATGGAATATCAATATTTCCTTGTTTTTGTTTGGGGGTTGAGGTGGGGGCCTTAGACATGCAAATACAGAATAGAGTAGTTCCTTCAGTTCCTGTCGTCTTCTTAATCTACAAATTTATCTTCCTTTCCTAATTTTCTCGTTATTTTCTTCCTTTTCGCCGTGATGAATCTATTTTCTCATTTATATTTTTGGGTAACTCAAAAAGCAAAGGGATAAATGCAGCGGGAATAATTGGTAGAGCCTCGTGGTGCTGTGGGTCCTAAATACTTTTCCCCTTCAATGACACGTATCAGCGCTTGCATTGTGGGTCCCAAAGGGCACGCCTCTACCGCTTTACGTTTTGCTTTACGCATTCGGTTCAAACTAAAACGGCAAAAATGCCTCCGGCACTTAAACATGTACCCTATTGTCACGTAAATAAACTTTCAAAATTCCTATATAAACACTTAAACTTGAATATAAGTGAACTAATAAACACTTCTTACCTATGACTCATCACAAACGTGACAATCCAGTTAGTTTATTGAATAAAAACCTGTCGCGTGTCAGGCGCGAAAACCCACTAAGCACCAAATATTTCCCATTCATTTTTGCCCTAAAACACTAATTTCATTTTCATTTTCAATTGTCTCTCTCAATTCCCGTCTAACATTTCACTCGTCTGCTCAAAATAGAGTGAACGTTGTCATAGGATTCCATTAGATCATCTGAAGATTGTGTTTATGCCTTTTTCTTTCAAAAACGGTCCCAAAATAAGAATCTGAGACAATCGAATACCGTCGCTTTCTCCTCCACCAGAAACATAGAAGTCATTAAAGGTCTGAGTGTTGTCTTTCGTGAAATTTTTGGTTGTTTTCTTGTATTTTTATTCGTTATTAAAGTTGATCGTGGTAGAATAATATTTTGTATGCATACAATGGTTCTTTCATTATTTAGGGTTTAAAATTAGGACTTTTTGAAATAACATACTAAATTCTTATTTTTTTTTCTCTGGATTTTGTCAATTCCATCGTTGATTTGGCATATAGGGTTAAATTAGGAGTTTTTATCATACCGAAAATAATTGTCTAGTTAGGGTTCCTTTCCCGCATTTGCTTGTTCTTTTTCAAATAATATTGTCTCTTTCTTTTGAATATTTTACTGATTTGGACTTATCTTATCTTATTTTCATAGGCGTAATGAGGCAGGATGCTTGCTCTTGTGAAATTACAATTTCACCATCAGGGACAACTGATAGTTGGCCCACTAATGAGGTTTGAAAATGGTATAACATGGCCTTCTATTGTAACTGCTGACATTGATGAATTGCATGTTATTCAATTCAACAAATGGGTAAATGATATGAGGTACTTAGATGTGGAAAAATTTGCATGTCGAGTCAATAAAAATGACCATTTCGATTTATTAAGTATGATACTGATGTGTTAGAATTTTGCAAAGACTTTCATGATTGGGATTTTATTGATGTTTATTTATGTCACAATGTTAATATATAATGTGTTGATATTGAATTGGATGAAATGTCAAGTAGTGGTGTGGACCCCAGTGATATCCCATACGAGCAAACAACTCGCTTTAGTGAAGTGCCACAAGGGCAAACAAGTAGAGCTAATGTTAGGGCAATAAACTCTCCCACCAATAATATAAATAGTGGTTGTTTCACTTAGAGGAAGGGGAAAGGGAGGGATGTTGATATAGAAGAGTCTATTGCGGATGAAGGGGAGTTCTACAACTTTCATCTAGCCACAGATTCAGATTGTGATGAACTTGAGAGTAATTCTAAGAGTGAGGATGGTGAATATGAGGGTGTTTCTACTGAAGAGGATACAGATGACTCATTTTATGATGCCGATAAGGATGTTGTTGGAGAGACAAGTGATATAGAAGCTGACCTTGTTGCTGCTAGACAGACAAAAGTAAATCAGAAGAACTGGAAAGAGGGATCTAACGATGTTGATGTAGATGAGCTACCTAGTGGCCCAGTAAGCATTGACCCTGGATTTAAAGACATTTACAAGGACAAGACTGCTAAATATGCTGGTAAATTGGGAGGGGATAAACAGTACCTAGATAGTTCAGATCTAGGGAGTGAGAATAGTACTGATGATGATGCAGATGATGAGGTGCATAACCTTCCTCTAAGAAGATACAATAGAAAGGTTTACTTTGACCTTAACTGTAAGAAAATTATTTTTCAACTGGGAATGGTTTTTGAAAATGTTAGACGATTTAGATTTGCTTTACAATACTATGTTGTACAGAGGAAAGTTCAATTAAAGTTGAGACCAAATGAGGGGAATAGGGTCAGGGCAACATGTTTGAATTCTAGTAAATGTAGATGGCATATTTTAGGCAGTTTATAGGGCCATACATAGAACTTCATTATTAACACATACTACCTTGTCCATTCACGCTTCCCAGTCACAAGGAACAAGCTTGCTAATACAGTTTGGATAGTTAAACATTACAAAGATAAGATCATTAATCAGTCTGACATAAAGCTCAAGAAGTTGCAAGAGTTGATAAGGATTTAGTATGGTGTATATGTAGGAAAAACAATATGTGCCAGGGCTAGACATAAGTAATGGGTAAGTATTTAGATGATTAAAAAATGGAGTTTGCTAGGATTTATAATTATGTTGACATGATAAGAACTACTAATCTAGGCAGCACTATTGTGGTGAGGACTTTAAAAAAAATAGAACCTGGCAAAGAGGTCTTTGTGGGGGCATACATTTGTTTACATGCTTTGAAAATAGGTTGGTTAGAAGGGTGTAAAAATATAAATGGATTTGACGGTGCATTTCTGAAGGGGTTGTGTAAAGGTGAATTATTGTCATGCATTGCTAAGGATGGTAATACCTAGATGTACCCTATTGCTTGGGCAGTAGTTGAGAAAGAGACCAAGAATAGTTGGTCCTGGTTTTTTAGGTGTCTAATGGAGGACTTGAAACTGACAGAATCTACAGGTGAAGGACTGACAATTATGTCTGATATACAGAAGGTATGTGTATTGTTTTAATCTCATTTTTTACTTTAACATTTACGATTGCATTGGATGAACTCTAATAGTGTATTTTTGTTGTTCAAGGGACTTGTTCAAGCTGTATCTGAATTGATGCCAAATTCTGAGCATAGAATATGTGCAAGGCACATATGGAGCAACTGGAAAAAAACCTGGGGTGGTGAGGAAAGAAGAAAAAGTTATGGGGTTGTGCAAGAGCTTCATTTGAAGCATTTCTGAATGTTAAACTAGACGAGTTGGCAGAATTGGGTGGCAATAGGATAAATGGAAGACTTACTTAGATATCCCAAACAGTCATGGTGTAAGGCCTTTTTTAAAGGTTGTAGTAAGTGTGATGTTGTGGAGAACAACATGTGTGAGACCTTCAATATTTGGATACTTACTTCTAGGCACAA